ACCCCCCCCTGCTGCTTCGCCACCCCCTTCTAAAAAAAGAAGAAGAAAAAAACTCAAACCCAAAAACAGCTTTCAGTGCCCAAAGCCTCAAGCATAACATGTTCTAAGAGTAGGAGTACACGAATGCTCATCAGCATGAAAAAGATCACTTCAGGCATCCACACCGACATACCATCTCGTCTGCCTTCATGAAAACATGCCAGCTCTCTTTCAACAGCCTCAGAGAGTTGACAAGTGCTCATCACCGGCGTCTACATAATATAGGTTAATCCCACACACAATAACATATGTGTCTAGGAGTTCCGCTTGAGCAAAGACAGTGCAGTTAACAAACTCGTCACATCCGGCTTGTACAAAGACTTTGCCGCGTCTTCCAGAAGGACTGGGAGCGGCGGCAAAGCGTGCAGCGTCTCGTAGAAAGCCTAGTAGAATACGTGCTCGTTTTATCAATTTGGACATTTCTGAAGACAGACAATCCTCCCTCAGAATTTTTGTAAATGCAGATGAAAGGCAAATACCTCAGTAAATACTCATTCAGCATCCTTTTTATCGTTTTACTGAGCAGAAAGGGCAATGTAGGGAATGTAGACATTAGATGAATTAGGATGGGCTAGTTAATGCTTTCATATTATTCATTTTCACACTTATAGCTATTGAGATATATCTTGCTGGGATTTGCGAAACATTAGGAAAACGGGGCAACAGAAGAAAGGATAAAACTTAGAAGAAACTAGGGGAAAAGGAAATAAAATTCAGTTTTTCTGAATTTCCTAAACATTTCAAAGAAATAGATTCAATCTTTGAACCTGTGTTCTCTGAGACAAAGTACGAGTACACAAATCAAATCTCTAGTAAAAAATAACTTGTCCCAAAAAATGCTCAGAACTTCTGAGAGAGGGAACTTAGTTTATGAGTTCAAAGTTAGAATAATTTAACACCTAACTTTTGCGTATTTTTGACAGAGGTTGGCGGGTTAGCGTAGGTAAATTGTAATTTACATTGTTAATAACTTAAATGATCACTTTTATGTATTTTGAGGGACGAGTTTTTGTGTTATATCGCGTTTACCGAGCCCTTTGTGCGTTTCTCCATGATGTAGCCTCGGCTTTCCAATATTTCTCTGTTTGTGGCTGTGGTTGGTTCATGGCTCTCCATCCACCCGACTTTGTTCTATCGGAGATGGAAGTTATGCGGGGAGTCCGATTTTTAAAATGAATGTACCGTACACGAAAAGAGGTCGAAACCGTGCTTAGTAATCAGCAGCTTCAGCTGTCTCTGCTGAAGTCGGATGTGTTTTTGTTTTTCATTTGGTTCTGTGTCCTATTTCCATGGGGGCCAGATATTCGTGACGAATACAACAGGACTATTACTAATTGTTATGGTGGAAAGTTAAGTATACAGAACCTAAAACCTCCCAATAGGTACGTCGTTTCGTAACCCCCACCCCTCCTCTAATTTTTTCTCTCACTCCTGAAATAAGACAAAGAAACTACACTGGCCAGCGAGAGTGCTTACTTTTTCCACCCGAAAACACAGTGGCTCGTTCTGGGTTTAATCGTCGAAAAAAATAGATTCCCCCCATGAGGAAGACTAGAGAGAAAAATCAACGTAATGAAGCATCTGAGACGGATGTGATCAAGAAGCATGTCACGAGTAGAAATGTCATGTACAATACATGGCTGCCTGTCCGCTTCCTTTCCTGTTGAGTCATTAGCAGTTGTTAAGCTGTCTGGTTAAACAAATCAAAGCCGAGCTGCCCCCGTCCTCGAGTCTTGTAGAACATTTGCTGGTTGTTTTTTAGACACCTCAGCTATCTTCTCTGAGAAAGACGAGGGGCAGGTTAGAGAGTGCAACCGTCGGGACTTAAACATTTGCCTTACCCCTGTGTCTAAGCAGCAACCAATATCATAGATTGAGAATTATCAACTAATCTTTCTAAAATGGCCTATCATACCATTGTTATCCTTAACGCATATCAATTCACAACACCAGTCCATACCCTACCACATAACGCCATAATATACCACCCCATATCGTATTACACCATAATGATGTCACACCATATGATACCATGCCATTCCATACCATACCATACCATTTCATACAATACCGTGCCATACCGTTCAATACACTACTACGCCATATCGTACTATACTATACCATGTCATACTATGCCACACAACATTCAACTGAATGGAGAATCATGACAGCCAATGTGTGTTTGAGATGTATTTAAGTTCAGGTCGTGGTTCTTGAGAGTGGGAGAAAAAGAGAAAGCAGAGAGAAAGGGAGATGGAGAGAGAGAGAGAGAGAGAGAGAGAGAGAGAGAGAGAGAGAGAGAGAGAGAGAGAGAAAGAGAGAGAAGGGGGTGGGGTGGGGAGGGCGATAGGATGGGGAGGGAGGGATGGTGTCGCACACAAGGCAAAAATAGAACAAATAGAACGGTGGCTGTAGAGAAGAAGATTGAAAAACCCAGCAGAAAGCTGACAAGAGGATTTCCATGATTGAGAATAGCAGTGTGTTTGCCGGGCGCCGCGAGATGGAATGGTTGATGACAAACTTGACCGGCATTCAGAACTTTGGACCTGGAACCAGGAAGAGAGAGAGAGAGAGAGAGAGAGAGAGAGAGAGAGAGAGAGAGAGAGAGA